ATATATAATTACAGTAACAGCTAACAGTTTAGCTCACTATAAGACTAGTGTTAATATATTGGTGTTGTTGTTGTTTTTTCATTTTCTGTATTAATGCAGTAAAAAGGATTCTGTCTGTCTGTCTGTCTGTCTGTCTGTTAATGGTTTTAATTATATATAATATATATTATTATATAATAATAATGTCTGATTACGATGTCCTCGTTAATATGAGTGTGAACACTGAGAGTTCATTAATGTTCTTTAAAGCATTTGTTGTTTTTTAATTACATTTCTACATTTAAATGTTATTTCTTTATTTAATATTAATAATCTGTTTTTATTTGTTTATTCCAACCAAGGACAACAGATAATGGAAAGAGGCCTGTAGGGGGCGGCAGACACCCTCACTGTTACTGTAGCTACTGCATGTGTTAAATATAAGTCCTATAGAATTATCCTTATATCATATTATATAAGTATAATAATATAATATATAAGTTAAACAATATGTCAGATAAATCATAATACATTAATATGACACATAAAACAATAAACACAAGTCAGTAAAAAGTACAATATCTGCCTCTGAGATGTAATAAAATATAATTCTATATAATATGGTTGTAATAACTGACTGTGCTGTCGGTCTCTGGTGGTCAACTATCAATATTATTGATCAGATACAGTTTACATAGAGTTTGTTGGCCTCGCAGCAGCAGTAGGGGCCTTTTTTAGATATGATTCAACTTTATTGTCTTTACACAAAGTAATGTGCATACGTACAAGGATGTAAAAAACAACAATATATACTGAACAAAATTATAAACGCAACACTTTTGCTTTTGCCCCCATTCATCATGAGCTGAACTCAAAGATCTAAGACTTTCTCTTTGTAAACAAAAGGCCTATTTCTCTCAAATATTGTTCACAAATCAAAATCTGTTAGTGAGCACTTCTCCTTTGCCGAGATAATCCATCCACCTCACAGGTGTGGCATATCAAGATGCTGATCAGACAGCATGAGTATTGCACAGGTGTGCCTTAGGCTGGCCACAATGAAAGGCCACTCGAAAATGTGCAGTTTCACTGTATTGGGGGGGTCCGGTAACCAGTCAGTATCTGGTGTGACCACCATTTGCCTCATGCAGTGCAGCACATCTCCTTCACATAGAGTTGATCAGGTTGTTGATTGTGGCCTGTGGGATGTTGGTCCACTCCTCTTCAATGGCTGTGCAAAGTTGCTGGATATTGGCAGGACCTGGAACACGCTGTCGTATACGCCGATCCAGAGCATCCCAAACATGCTCAATGGGTGACATGTCCGGTGAGTTTGCTGGCCATGCAAGAATTAGGATGTTTTCAGCTTCCAGGAATTGTGTACAGATCCTTGCAACATGGGGCCGTACATTATCATGCTGCAACATGAGGTGATGGTCGTGGATGAATGGCACAACAATGGGCCTCAGGATCTCGTCACGGTATCTCTGTGCATTCAAAATGCCATCAATAAAATGCACCTGTGTTCGTTGTCCATAACACGCCTGCCCATACCATAACCCCACCGCCACCATGGGCCACTTGATCCACAACGTTGACATCAGCAAACAGCTCACCCACATGACGCCATACACGTTGTCTGCCATCTGCCCTGTACAGTGAAAACCGGCATTCATCCATGAAGAGAACACCTCTCCAAAGTGCCAGACGCCATCGAATGTGAGCATTTGCCCACTCAAGTCGGTTACGACGACGAACTGCAGTCAGGTCGAGACCCCGATGAGGATGACAAGCATGCAGATGAGCTTCCCTGAGACGGTTCCTGACAGTTCTTGCAGAAATTCTTTGGTTATGCAAACTGATTGTTGCAGCAGCTGTCTGGGTGGCTGGTCTCAGACAATCTTGGAGGTGAAGATGCTGGATGTGGAGGTCCTGGGCTGGTGCAGTTACACGTGGTCTGCGGTTGTGAGGCCGGTTGGATGTACTGCCAAATTCTCTGAAACGCCTTTGGAGACGGCTTATGGTAGAGAAATGAACATTCAATTCACGGGAAACAGCTCTGGTGGACATTCCTGCAGTCAGCATGCCAATTGCACGCTCCCTCAAAACTTGCAACATCTGTGGCATTGTGCTGTGTGATGGAACTGCACATTTTCGAGTGGCCTTTCATTGTGGCCAGCCTAAGGCACACCTCTGCAATACCCATGCTGTCTGATCAGCATCTTGATATGCCACACCTGTGAGGTGGATGGATTATCTCAGCAAAGGAGAAGTGCTCACTAACACAGATTTTGACAGATTTGTGAACAATATTTGAGAGAAATAGGCCTTTTGTGTACATAGAGAAAGTCTTAGATCTTTGAGTTCAGCTCATGATGAATGGGGGCAAAAGCAAAAGTGTTGCGTTTTTAATTTTGTTTAGTGTATATATATACAGCAGGTAAAATAAGTATTGAACACGTCACCATTTTTCTCAGTAAATATATTTCTAAAGGTGCTATTGACATGAAATTTCCCCAGATGTCGGTAACAACCCATGCAATCCACACATGCAAAGAAACCAAAATAAATCATGTCAGAAATTAAAGTTATGTGTAATAAAATGGAATGACACGGGAAAAGTATTGAACACTCTTACTGAAAATTCATTTAACACTTCGTACAAAAGCCTTTGTTGGTAATGACAGCTTCAAGACACCTCCTGTATGGAGAAACTAGTCACATGCATTGCTCAGGTGTGATTTTGGCCCATTCTTCCGCACAGTCTTCAAATCTTGAAGTTTCTGTGGGCCTCTTCTATGAACTCTGATCTTTAGTTCTTTCCATAGATTTTCTGTTGGATTCAAGTCAGGTGATTGGCTGGGCCATTCTAGCAGCTTTATTTTCTTTCTCTGAAACCAATTGAAAGTTTCCTTGGCTGTGTGTTTGGGATCATTGTCTTGCTGAAATGTTAACCCTCATTTCATCTTCATCATCCTGGTAGATGGCAGCAGATTTTTATCAAGAATGTCTCGGTACATTATTCCATTCATCCTTCCTTCAGTTATATGAAGTTTGCCAGTGCCGTATGCTGAAAAACAGCCCCACACCATGATGTTCCCACCTCCAAACTTCACTGTTGGTATGGTGTTTTTGGGGTGATGTGCAGTGCCATTTGACCTCCAAACATGCTGTGTATTATGGCATCCAAAGAGTTGAATCTTGGTCTCATCTGACCAGACTCCCAGTATTTCACAGGCTTGTCTGAATGTTGTGCAGCAAACTTTAAACGTGCTTCAACATGCTTTTTCTTCAGCAGTGGAGTCTTGCGCGGTGAGCGTGCATACAGGCCATGGCGGTTGAGTGCATTACTTATTGTTTTCTTTGAAACAATTGTACCTGCTAATTCCAGGTCTTTCTGAAGCTCTCCACAAGTAGTCCTTGACTCTTGGACAACTCTTCTGATAATTCTTTTCACTCCTCTGTCAGAAATCTTGCGAGGAGCACCTAGTCGTGGCCGGTTTATGGTGAAATTATGTTCTTTCCACTTGCGGATTATGGCCCCAGCAGTGCTCACTGGAACATTCAGAAGTTTAGAAATCCTTCTGTAACCAATGCCATCAGTATGTTTTGCAACAATAAGGTTGTGAAGGTCTTGAGAGAGCTCTTTGGTTTTACCCATCATGAGATGTTTCTTGTGTGACACCTTGGTGATGAGACACGTTTTTATAGGCCATCAGTTGGGACTGACTCTTTTTTTTTTCTTTTATTGCCTTTATTTGATAGAACAGCTGAAGACAGACAGGAAAGGGGGGCAGAGAGAGAGGGGATGACACTCAGCAAAGGGCCGCAGGTCGGATTTGAACCCTGAGCCGCTGCAGCAAGGACTCAGCCTCGGTACATGGGTTGCCAGCTCTACCCACTGAGCTAACCGGGTGCCCCGACAGGACTGCTTTCTAATTACTGGTAGATTTCAGCTGGTGTCTTGGCTTTCCATGCCTTTTTGAACCTGCCTTTCGTCATGTGTTCAATACTTTTTCCCTGTGTCATTTAAATTATTACACATAACTTAATTTATGGACATCTATGGTTTGATTTACCCTAACCCTTTGCATGTGTGGATTGCATTGGTTGTTACCGACATCTGGTGAAAATGTCATGTCAATAGCACCTTTAGAAATATATTTACTGAGAATAATGGTGACGTGTTCAATACTTATTTTACCTGCTGTATATATCAATATGCTAGCAAGATATGTACAGTATGCACATGAGCTAACGATAAGGATAGGGTTAGGTCAAAATAAAGTTTTATTTATACAGAACAGAAGTTATCTCAGGACACTTTTCAAACAGCAAACAGACAGTGCTATGGAAAATATCTGAATAATTAAAACAACCTGTTTGGTCATCTATAGATCGACTGTTTAAAATATAGATAGTCAATGCGGCACAATACAGAAGTATTCACACTACTCTCCAAAGGCACACTGCACTAACAGCAGTGTCTGTAAATCCTGAATTCTAGACAATTACAGGACAATGTTGGAATTAAAACAAAGGGAAACTTCATGTTCTCCACTGGGAACTCTGACTGTCTCCATCTGGGGGTTATTAGCTGAGCTCTTGTGATAATAGATAGTGATAATAGTTCATATATTACTGTGCTAGTGCTAGCTAGCTACACAGAGAAGGTATTACTGTGCTAATTAAAGTAAATGTGTCAAAGGTGAAACCTATAATAAAAATAATGCTTAAATTCTTAATGACTCGTCTGTTTCAACTTCTTTTTCAGTAAACAATCAGAAATCCAGATTTACTGTAATAAAGTCAGGACCACTTTTGTCTAAAGAACTTTTATTTCTAAAGCAGAATGTCACATATGGTGGTATGGCTCTGTTCTGGGACCTCCCTGCCCTTTACCTTAAGACAAGGAGAGCAGCAGCAGAGACCCACCAGGGTACAGAGACCCCCCCAGGGTACAGGACAGAGCGAGCATCTGTTGTGTATCAAAATGATCTTTAGGACATAAGACAAACAACTTCTCTCAGTTAAGAAGTTTATTTAGAATTTGTATAATTAAAATAATACTTGTACAAGGATCTTGTTGGATTGAGAAGCCACAGTCAGCGGACTGCTGTTACTCTGTCTTTTCTCGCCCCAAAAAGAGTAGTGATCAAAGGTTACAAGAGATGATATTTGTTTTACATTAAGCAATGCGATTGGTGGACAATATGATCAGAGGCAACCGTGGTTTAGACTTGGTGCATCCTTGTTGGTGCTCAGACTGGTCCCAGTCTCTTGGCACACGGCCCAACCAATTCCGAGAGGAGACAGCGCCTAAAAGAAAATTAATAATTCCACCCTGCTCTCCCTCCTAACTAATATTATTTAGGTAACTAGAGCGACGGTCAGAACTGGGTGCCTCCGACCTTGAAGATAACCCATTCTTCCTCCCACAGACAGGTGTTTGCAACTAGTGTAGCTCCCAAGCAGAGATGAGACAATGTGTCTGTGTTTATCTTTGTGTATTAGCTTTATAAAATGCAGGCTTTCACATCTATGTGTATTAAAATATATTAAAATGACTAATCCCTAACACATCAATGCAATCAGAAAATGATATTGATTAATTAGATAGAACATAAAAGGAGGAGATTCAATCATTTCATCTTCTGCTCCCCCCCCTGACTGATGCCACAGTAATATACGGCGGCGTCGCTCCTCTGCGAACCATGCAGCAGCAGCGAGCCGTCGGCTGCAGCCGAGACTTTATCCGGGTCGATGCCGGAGCCATACTTCAGGTTGGAACTGTTACTGGACCGGACAGACAGAAGCAGCTGAGGACCCTGTCCTGCTGCCTTCCTGTACCAGCTGAGGGTGGACCGGGTGCCGTCGGAGGGGTCCAGCAGGGGGCACTGCAGGGTGGCGTCCTCCCCGACTCTCACCTGCACGGTGGGGGCCGGCAGGGTGGCGGCACGCTGCTGGAAACCTTCAAAACCACAAAGTCTTACACGGCCAGTAAAGTGTCAAACATCTATCAAAACCTTATATTTTTATGTATATATCTAGATATCTAGATCGGTTTTTAGACCAGGAACAGAAAACAAAGAGAGATGATAAAAATAATAGTTATAAATGAGATTATAATCAGAAATATTAGTGTAAAGTGAAAATGATCAGACATTTTATCATCTTTCTATTGCGGCTGAACAGAATCATTGTGCGTTCATCTGCTGATGGTTTTTTCAATTGATTAGATTAATAATTGATTGATTAATAATTGATTAATTGTTTAATCTATAAAATCTGTGTTGACGTCTTCAGTTGAGATTTACTAAGATAGAAACCTGACTGAACGGTTGATCAATCTGTTGTATTGACTTTATGAATGAATCAACACAATCATATAACAGTTCCTATCAGACATTATCTTTATATTTTCTGTCTCGTTGCATTATATAAAAGCTTTAGTTTGAAGGCTTTTCAGAATAAAATGAGCTGAATGAATGAAGGAGAGAGAACAAACTCACCGGCAGCAGACAGCAGGATCACACAGAGCAGCACAGACGCCATCATCCACTGACTGTTGACTGACTGAATGTTGTTCTGTTCACCAGCGGAGCGTTTCAGCTTCAAAACAACAGCCAACAGCCAACAGCCAACGGCCAACAACCAACAACAACGAACCAACAACCAACGGCCATAAGTATGTGGACACGCTGGTGACGTCATCATGAGTGTGTAGTAAAACCAATGATCATGTGACGACGTCCAGGACATTTGGTCTTTTTAATCCATTTCCAGGTGTTTCCAAGACTGGAAAACTAGTCTCTACTGTTGAATATTGGTTATTGATTGAAATACTGAATTATGGATTACAGACAGTGAGCCTCAGACGACATTATACAGCCGTTGTTGGTGATATCTGAACTTTATGTAGCAGCTTTTCAAAAACTTAATATTCTGAATATAACATATTAATATTATAATATATTAGTATTATTTTTACTACGAATGCTGTAAGATTGCTGTTTCAGGGTTAATAAATATCAGATTTCAGTGTATTGGAGGAATTTTTAACAACAGTTTCTGTGTCACAATTACATTTCGCTGTCCACATACTTTTGGCCAAGAACTGTAAAGTATGTTTAATATTTATACATATATAATATACATATGTATATGTATATAATATACATATATATATGAGGAGGTCTGATGTGGTCTGAGGGGGTCCGAGGGGGTCCGAGGGGGTCCAGGTTTGGACCCAGCAGCTGTGGATCTGGATCAGACCTCACTGACAGTTGATGTGACCACCAAACACCTGCAGGTTCACCACCACCACCACCACCACCACCACCACCACCACCACAACAACAACAACAACAACAGTGTTAGATTTTTAATTAATGAATTGTTATTATTACTGATTCAAGCAACAGGTTGAGTTCTTAGTTATTCTTCAGTAATTAAAATGCAGATCCATTAATTAACTGATGATAATCTTTATTATTTATAAATAAGGATCTACTGAAACTTGACAATTGGAGACCAATAACTCTGCTTTGCAATGATTATAAAATACTAGCTCTTGTTTATACTAATCGACTCAAACTGGTTTTAGCTGAATTAGTGGATGAGTACCAGTCTGCTTTCATTAAAGGTAGGAATATTAATAACAACGTCAGACTAATATTAGATATGATAGACTATCAATCCCTTGATTTTTTTCAAAGCATTTGACTCCATAGAACATACATTTCTGATCAAAACACTTGAAAAATTTGGGTTTGGGGTTAAATTCTGTGCGATCATTAAAATGTTCTATAATGACATAATAAACTACATCTCTCTTAATCCAGGAATGACCCCTAGAATAAAAATTAATTGAGGAATTAGACAAGGGTGTCCCATATCACCCAAACTTTTCATTTTGTGTATTCAAATACTGACATATTTGATTGTTAATCATTCAGAAATGAAAGGGATTACCTTTTTTCAGCTATGATTTTCATATCAGTCAGTTTGCTGATGATACAGTATTTATTCTATGAGATAAATCTATAAATGAAAAAGCCTTAAACGTAATCTCCATATTCTGTAGAGCATCTGGTTTGAATTTGAACAAATGTGAGCTTCTCTCATTGTTCCCCTGCAATGAAGACCATATAATGTCCATTCCTGTGAAAAAAGAAGTCAAATACTTGGGTTTAAATATAATCAAAGATAACAAATCAAGGGAAAGTAATAATTTTCATGAAAAACTAGAGATTATGAAGAAAACTCTAAATCATTGGCTAACTAGAGATCTCTCCATTTTTGGAAGAAACATACTATCCAAAGCTGAGGGCATTTCTCTCTCTCTCTCTCTCTCTCTCTCTCTCTCTCTGTAAATAATGTTATAAAGAGTTCGGTCTAGACCTACTCTATTTGAAAAGTGTCCTGAGATAATGTCTGTTATGAATTGGCGCTATACAAATAAAATTGAATTGAATTGAAAAACTGGTTCATCCATGCCAGACTTTATTTGTTGCTCCTCAAAACATTAAGAAAGCCAACTCAATCACGGACATAATTTGGGGGGGGGGACAGGAAACGGGACAGGAGACATGTCCCCTGCACTTTTTCAAAAGGCCGTTTTGGTCCCTTGCAGTTTGTACCGTCCAAAAACAATGTTCTGCTATAGTATACAGAGACTCGTCAAGCACTAGGACCCAGCGGAAAACGGCCGACAGTCAGTCAGATGCTGTTCCTTTCACACACCTTTATATATTAGAGTTGGAAGCCTTGTTGTTTGTTGTGTTACAGTTCAGTATTGTCTAAAGTGTGTTTATAGTGTTACACTTTACATCCATGTTAAAGTGCACATCATTAATGTTAATACATTCCCATATGTTATATTATATCTGCAGTTTACTGATTCTTTGTATTCTATGCTAATCAGCATTTCACTGTAATGACAATAAGATCAAATCTGATCTAATTTGCACATCTTACATATATCATTCATGTACAGTACAGTGAAAGTAATGCATCTCTTAGGTTTTTCATTTTTATTATTTAATTTTATTCTTGGAATCATTTCTTTTATTATTAGACTGTAACACCCAATGGTATCACTAACTCCTCTTCTCTCTTCAGATGCGCTGTTGAAATATCTAAATCCACCTCCTGCAAATCCTGGGCCATCTACAGTCATCGCCGCTTCAACAGCATCAAGTGATCCTCCTGTCGCCTCCACCTCAGAAGAACCAGTGATGCAGCATCAGGAATAAAGGCTGCACCAACAGACCCTGCTGAGTGGCCATCTCCTCTAACTGATGACGTACAAACAGGATTAGTTCAAAATTGGTGGTACTGAGTTGGAGTGAAGTTGACCAACAAGGTGAAACACAGAATTGGGTGATAATGTTTTGCTACATGCTTTACAACCAGTCAAACCAAAAAAGGGAACAGTAAACTTAAAAGTAGCAACAGAGAACTAGAAGAACTACTAGAAAACACAGTGAACTGAAAAAGTTAGTTTTATTAAAAATACTTGTGTCCCCCCACCTCTGAAATCAAAATTTCGTCCTTGAACTCAATTACATATAATTTTATATGGAGAAACAAAACACATTATATAAAAAAGTCACAATTAGTCAAAAAATGTAAGCAAGGGAGGATTAAATCCATTACACTTTGAATCAATGATAGGAATGTTCAGAATAAATGGGATAAAAGCCTTTCTGTCAAAAACTGAATCCATATGGTTTCATATCCCCAAAAATATTTTTTAAAAAGTGGGAGGTTTGGATTTTTTGTTAAAGTGTGATTATGTAACTACAAAATTGCCTCTAAAACTATCTGAATTTCATAAGCAAGTATTGCACTACTGGAAAGTGTTATTTAGACATAATTTTAGCCCCCATGGCTCCACCTTATGGAATAACACAACAATCACAATAAATAGAAAAACTCTATTGACACAAAGTTGGTATGACAAGAAAATAATATTTGTAGCTGACCTGATGGATAATCAAGGGTCAATCATGAAACTTGATTCCTTCAAAATAAAATTGATATACAGTGCTCTTATAGAGAATACAGTAAAATATGTCATGCAATACCAGCTCCCTTAATCCAGCAAATTCAAAACACACTTCCACACATTCAGAAGTAAGGATAATCTTACCAGATATTGGACAAATCCAAATTGGAGATAAACAATGCAGCAATAAAGTCATACGGAATAAGTTTAAAGAAATTCTTTTTCATGATCTTACAAGAGATATAAATATAAAAACAAGCGAGAGCAACTCAAAAATCTCAAACAAGCATGTTAAATATATGAAATGGCCAATCTCCCCAAAAGCAAAAGAATTACAAAATGATCAATGGTTTGGAGGTGGAGCCATGTGGCTTCTGTCAATCAGATAGTGAAACTATCGAGCACCTTTTTTATTCATGTCCGGTAGTGACCCAGTTTTGGCAATCCATGTATGACTGGTTAAAAAATAAAACCAATAACATCACACCCTTTAATAAGGATCAAATGTTGGTATACAATGAAAATGTCCCCCAAAAAATGTCTGATCTAATCAATATAATTATAGTTTTAGGCAAATATCACATACACATTTGTAAGTGAAAAGGTAGATCACCCTCACTGATGTGTTTTAAAATGAGTTGAACAAGTACTTGGATGCCTTGGGTTTACTGGCAGATGAATATGAAGGAATTGGTGGGCTGATAGAGGCTGCTGTGTATGGTATGCCTTGATGAGTGTGTGTCTGTCTGTGTCTGTGTCTGTGTGTGTGTGTGAGTGTGTGTAAGATAGGTGTTGCCAGAGTAGGTCATTAGTGAGAGGCAGACTCAGGACATTGTGGTATAATTATCTTTGTGTGGGCATGTACAGAATGAACAGAACCTCTCTCTCTCTCTGTCTGTCTATCTGTCTCTCTCCCTCCTCCCAGAGAACTGATCCTTATATATTTCTTACCTGTCTGAAAACTAGACGTGGATTAAACCATCCTCACTTCAGGTGGTAATATTTACAGATATCTTTTATCAAGACACCAGCTTCAATAAACATCATTACCCATAACACCATTCAAATTTCCCATGGCACTTGAATGTAACACCAACTGAATATTCCTTATTCCTGCCATTCATAAGAGAACTAAACAGAAATAAATATTCAACTTATTCCCCGTTAACTTGGTACGTCCCTGACGTAATTGGTGACGTCATCGTATGCATTTAACCGGTGCATTATTAAGTATATTAAGTAAATAATTGTTTGAATTTCAAACCCCTTGAAAAGGCTTGTGGCTGAACAGTCGCATGTCCAGCTTGTAGAGAGAGATGGAAGAGGTGTACCAGCCGATACAGTTCTTCCTCGCCTGCCGACTGCCATACTGATGGTTGCTGTTGAAACTCCCGACTTTGTCCGAAGTCTGCAAAGTCTCTGACCAGTGCGGTCTCTGATGGCAGGATGAACGTAAGAGTGATCCTTGGTGATCAATTGGAACCTGCAGCCGGTTGGAGATGGTTAATCCTCCTCTGCCTGCCGCTCGCGTCTCGGCTGTAGGTTGTTGGACTTTTCTTTCTGCGATGATGGCTTGTTCGTTGCTCTGTCTCTTGAGTTGAAATTCTAAGTTCAAAGATGAGTTGCCCCGATGTGGTCGATCGATCAGCAAGTCTTGAACCCGAAAGCCAGCCGAGGACTAACCACGATCCCCCTTGTGTAGTCCCTTTTATCCCCCTAGGGTGTTCGGTTCAGGGCCGTGCTACTTCCTCTTGTGCTCCCCAAAAGACAGTTCTCTGTGTGCTCATCCTTAAATGGTGTGTTCTGTGTGTGCACTCCAACTTCCCTTTTCTCTCCGCACCAGACATGTCTGCTTGCAATTCGTGCCTTTTCACCCAGGTACTCAACACCTCAACATGATTTGCTCTCTTGACCTTACTTTCCATAGTTCTATCTTACTACTGATGTGTGTTATTGTGTGTGAGTGTGTTATTGTGTGAGTGAGTGAGTGAATATGTTATGGTGAGTGTGTATGTGAACAGAGCTGCTCTGATGTTTGAGAGAAACTTTCAGAGAAATGAAACTGAGACAAGTTTAGCAAGTGCTCCTTGTCCTCCCCCTACACTGTTACCGCGAGACGCTGAAATGGATGGATGCCTTGTTGTCTGAAAATGTCAACAGGCTTGTCTGTTTGAGTAACTGGCTCAAAGCAAAGAAGTAGTAGGCTTACCTTTTATTGGTAACCGTTACTGTTCATTCTTTCTGAAATAAGAGGCTGGGTTGAGCCTCTGGTGAATAAAGAGCAGCAGTCTGACTGCTATGTTCAAAGCAAACTTGAGAAAAGTATTAAGCCATGGTTTAACTGCACTATAGGCTGAGTCCTAGTTTACCTTACATGTGCACTTTGTAATTTTATTTTGTATCGCCCTGTTTTGATCCCTTAGAAAGGGCTGTTGAAGGGGCTGTTTGTGGGACAAAGTATTTGTTTCACCCTTTTATTGATGGACAGTGTTACATTGTGTGAGAGATTATTTGCTCCAAGTGAGAATGTTAGTGTGAAATTGAACACTACAGTATATGCCAATGTTGTTTTCAATAAAAACATTTGCACAAAGCAAGCCGATCCACTTTTCCATGTTGATAAGAGCATTAAAATGAGAAAAAATAATGGGACAAAAAGAAATCAAGGGACATTTAGAATAGATCAAAATGATTAATAGCGAGTTAACTACGACATTAATGCGATTAATCGTTTGACAGTACTAAATAATATTAATGTGTTTGTGTTGTTGTGACCTCAGCTGAACTTAGAGTACTTCCTGTGTTTGGTTGAAGGAAACAGGTCAGAGGACAACCGGCGTAATAAACATTACATGTGACTGAAACAGGAAGTGATGAGCCCCAAGACCTCCTTCAGGACGCTAAGAGACAGAGAGACAACATCACACTCCTCCCTCCTCCTCCCTCCTGCTGCAGTTACAGATGTTTGTGTTGTCTGTTTCCAGGAGTCCAAACGCTGCAGCTGTCAGCCAATCACAGCACAGAGAGACTGAGGGGGGTGGGGCCTCTGCCAGCTGTGTGGCAACAGCTGGCAGGAGGTCAGGAAAGAGTGTGAGGAGGAGGTGGAGGGAGGAGAGGAGGAGGGAGGAAAGAGGGAGGAGAGGAGGGAGAGGAGGAGGAGGAGGGAGGAGAGAGGGAGGAGGGAGAGGAGGGAGGAGAGGAGGGAGAGGAGGAGGAGGGAGGAGGGAGGGAGGGAGGGAGGGAGGAGAGGAGGGGAGGGAGGAGGAGGAGGAGGAGGAGGGAGGAGGGAGGGAGAGGAGGAGGAGGAGGGAGGAGAGGAGGAGGAGGAGGGGGAGGAGGAGGAGGAGGAGGAGGAGGAGGAGGAGGGAGGAGGAGGGAGGAGGGAGAGGAGGAGGGAGGAGAGGAGGAGCACTTGCTGAACTTGCCTCAGTTTCATTTCTCTGAAAGTTTCTCTCAAACATCGTCATCAGGTTGAGAGGAAACAGAGCGGCTCTGTTCACACACACACACACACACACACACACACACACACACACACACACACACACACACACACACACACACACACACACACACACACTGAGGAGGAGGAAGAGGGGGAGGTAGAGGGTGTGGCTGAGGTTTCCTGTCCTCCTCTCACCCTCTGAAGGAGCTCCTCCCTGAGTTTCTGCCCAGCCTGTCGGGGAACTCCAGCTCACTTCGACCTGAGACTCACTGAGAGCAGCTCGTCTTCATCACATCATCTTCACCTCCATCTCCATCCTCCTCCTCCCATCATGGCCGCCTCCTCCAAGTCGTCCCAGAAGGGGAAGAACGTGGCGATCGTCCTGCTGGCGCTCTGGTCCATCGTGTCGCTGGTGGTCATCGTGGTGTGGGCGACGTCTCCGGACCTGAAGAGCTCGGCGCAGTGCCGGGCCGAGCTGCAGAGGACCACGGAACTGCTGGAGGGTGCCAAGGTGGTCTGGGACCGGAACAAGGTGGCTCTGGAGGAGCAGGTGGAGGCGGAGAGGGAGAAACAGGAGCTCCACAGAGCCCAGATCCTGGTCCTGCTGGAGCGCCTCAACGCCACCAACGCCACGCTGGAGGAGTGCCGGCAGGAGAACGTGAGTCTCAGTATTATTATTGTTATTGTTATTATTATTGTTATTGTTATTATCATTATTATAATAAATACAAACGACTCAAAGTGAAACGATGAATAAATGATGAAACAGTGAAGATGAGCAGCGATATAATGATCAATAATAACTTTAATAAAGCAGACATGATCAGGCCCAGTGCATGCTGGGAGTTAAACAGATTGACCTCGTTGGCTTCAACCAATCAGCAGTTATTGATCCACACGTCCCCAAACTGTTGGAGGGTTTGTTCTCACTGGAACAAGTTCATACAGTTTAATGGTTATTGATTATTGATTGAATCAGCTCCATATAGAACAGAGCTCTAGAGTTTATACACTGATTAATGATTATAGATCATTGATTGCAGCCAGTTGAGGTCTCTCTTTCCTGAAACTCATTACCAAAGTAATGAAACTGAAAATAAGCAGCTGCACCCCCCCCCCCCCCCCCACCAGAGCTAACAGCTTCCATCTGTCCTCACCCTCAGTGAGATGGATCAATAACGCAGAGAACATTCCTCACTGTTTCCATCTTGGGACACTTTCCCTCCACTGCACCCTGAACACTGTTACACTGTTACACCCTGAACACTGTTACACTGTTACACCCTGAACACTGTTACACTGTTACACCCTGAACACTGTTACACTGTTACACCCTGAACACTGTTACACTGTTACACCCTGAACACTGTTACAGTGTTACACTGTTACACCCTGAACGCTGTTACAGTGTTACACCCTGAACACTGTTACACTGTTACACCCTGAACACTGTTACACTGTTACACCCTGAACACTGTTACACTGTTACACCCTGAACGCTGTTACACTGTTACACCCTGAACGCTGTTACAGTGTTACACCCTGAACGCTGTTACACTGTAAACCCTGAACACTGTTACACTGTGAACACTGTTACACTGTTACAGTGTGAACACTGTTACACTGTTACACCCTGAACACTGTTACACTGTTACACTGTGAACACTGTTACACCCTGAACGCTGTTACACTGTTACACCCTGAACGCTGTTACACTGTTACACTGTGAACACTGTTACACTGTTACAGTGTGAACACTGTTACACTGTTACACCCTGAACGCTGTTACACTGTTACACTGTGAACACTGTTACACTGTTACACTGTTACACCCTGAACACTGTGAACACTGTTACAGTGTGAACACTGTTACACTGTTACACCTTGAACGCTGTTACACTGTTACAGTGTGAACACTGTTACACTGTGAACAGTTACACTCTCAGCAGGCTGACTGTTTAAACTGTGAACAGCTCCAACATTTCCAGGTTCATATTCTCAGAGTTGTTGGTAGGAAAAAGTGAGTGTTTGCCTTCCTCCTCTCCCTGTTCCTCCCTCCTCCTCTCTTCTGACTCATTCCTCCTTCTCTTTCCTTCACCTCTGCTCCACTCCTCCCTCTCTGCTCCCTCACTTTCTCCTCAGTCTCACACGAAGGGGAAACTCTCACACCATCGCTGTGGATTGTGAATAATCCCGAATATCAGTGTTATTAATAGAAACACACACACACACACACACACACACACACACACACACACACACACAAACACACACACACACACACACACACACACACACACACACAGAGGAAAAACACGTTCCTGTTTACAACCATTACTACAACTCCCAGAATTCAGTGAATTCTCAGTCTCTGTGGCGCCGTCGTGAAGCACAGTGTGGTTGGCTTTTTTCAGTCACCATCTTGGCAGTCCCCGACCTCAACGCTCATTTTTGGATTTGCTGGCTAACTAGCTAGCTTATCTACATTAATGGTTAGCTAGTTATACCTAGCTAATATACCTTAATATCATTAAAAGGGGAGAGTCGTACAGTGATGAACGGGGGAATTATCTCTAGAGAGCAAAAGGCTGTAAATATGTTTGTTTCTGCAGTTTAATATGGAGCCTGACTCACTGCTGGAGCCTCTTAGTGGCCGTTAGAGGGACTGCAGGTTGGATTCCACAATCATTGAGATTATAAACTCACCTGTAAATCTGGCTTCGGTTTCTAGTTGTATTTCTTACTTGGAAGTCATTCCCAACTGAACTGTAGTATTAAAACACAGTTGCAGTTACTACCAGTGACCACAGAGGTCGCCAAAGCAACCAGGACTGAAAACAAAACGAATAGTTGAGCAGTGCCTGTTCGTCCTCAGACGGAAACATGAGGATGAATCGAACACCGATGACTCTAATATTAATATTGCTGTTTGAGATAACTTCAGACTCCACCAAAAAATGCAGTCTAATGCAGTTATTGTCTCCTGACTCTATGTGACCTCTGCACCAGCTCTACCAGGTGAGCTATCCAGTTGCCCCATTATATATATATATATATATATATATATATATATAATATATAATGTTGACTTCCATTCACTGGGCCTGGTCCCTGCAGCTGTTAGCCTGTTAGCATTGTGACTCGCTAACACTTCTCAGGAAGGAGTTTTAAACTGAAATCATTTGTTTGTCAGTTGAGGAGCTGTGAGTCAGCGAGTTGCTATCAGCAGACGATCAGTTTCTTCTTCATAACTCGTGACCACTTCCTGTCGTAGAAACACTGATATCATTTAACCCCTTCAGGTCCGTGTCGGTGCTGCGCTAGTGTTCACTGTGAACTCCTTCCTTCAAAATAAAAGCATTATACAGGAGCTTTTCAACTGTTTCCAGCTGCTGCTTCAACACGTCACTGATTAAATCCACCTGAAGCCCCTCGCTCTTTACCCCGCTGCATGCTGGGTAGTTATTTTACCTGTTAGACGGTCTGTTCTTCCTGTAGAGGTCAGTGGATGTCAGCGATGTAACGGAGGCCTGAAGCTGCTCTCAGCTGTGAAAGCTCTCACACAGCTGTGATATCTGCAGCTGCTGTGTGGTATTTTCAGGGAGTGGACTGTGTTTTCTTATTACTGATCGCATCAGCTGATCTTTGAACAGTGATCAGTTTGTTCTGATTTTGTCTTTTAATTTGTTTACTTCCTTCCATGAGTTTGTCAGTGTTTGTTGTTGTTGCTGTTTGTTGTTGTGTCAGTGTTGTTGTTGTTGTTTTTCCTGTGAATCGGTGATAAGATCAGTTTCGCTGTGGATATTAATGAAATTATCAATTGATTATTGATTGACACCTCCAACACAAGAAACAGTGTCTGTATACTTTTGGCTACATAGTCTTTCTGTTGCAGTCCGTTTTCCAGGAGTCCTTGAAGAGGTTCTAGAGGTCCTTGAGTGGGTTCAAGGGTCCTTGAATAGTTTCCAATACATCACACACAGACAGGTTTCTGTCACACAGACAGGTTTCTGTCTGTCTGTCTGTCTGACTTTAGAGCAGCTCAGTGGTTGTATAGGAAGAACCAGCATAGAAAGCTGCTTCCTGTGTGTCACTTCCTGTTGTTGAGTTTGTTGGAAGTTTCTGAACAACTTGCTTGTAAAGCTTCATTACAACCTCAGACATCAGAATCCACACAGCCAGACGGGGACGACTGTCCTCAGTATGCAGATGGACTCCAGTCTGAGAGGTCAGAGGCCTCCAGGTCCTGTAGAGACCAGAGTCAGTCAGTGTAGCTGCAGTGAATCAGGACCAGACTGGGCCCTGTTTGAAGGAGGAGATCAGGTCTCACTCAGACTGTCTGATTCAGAGTCCATGAGGTGGGCTTGTTGTCTCCAGTCAAACCTTATTGATCAATGAGTTGATCAATGAGTTGGACAAATGCGTGCAGTCATTGAGGGTCTGGGATCAGTACCCTGGCAGATGAGAACCATCAGGACCAGGTCACTTGATCCAGACTCAATAAATCCGGCTGTCACCATTGTCATTCCTCTCTTATCAATAACAACTATTCATCACAAATAATCTCAACTCACTGTCCTTTAAGAGGTCCTTGTAAACGTAGTACAGTAGCATTATTAGCAGTACTCAGTGTACTCTGTATGTGCTATTATAGACTGTACTGTCCCTTTAAGAGCTGCTCTAACAATAACTGCTGCGTTCAATCAAAGGAATGTTTCTGTTTGCTGCTTTCAATCAGCAGCTTGGACCGCCTGGCACAGCCCGGCCTGGCACAGTCCGGCCCGGACCAGTTGAAGGTACTTCAGACCAGGTTCATAATTCTGAACATGGATCGTGTTCCTAACAGTGAATTAGAGACGGGTTCACTGTCCTTGAACATGTTCCAGGTATTCTCCGGCTAAACTCCGACTGTTCTCCGGCTGAACTCCGACTGTTCTCCGGCTGAACTCCGACTGTTCTCCGGCTGAATTCCGACTGAACTCCGGCTGAACTCCGACTGTTCTCCGGCTGAATTCCGACTGAACTCCGGCTGAATTCCGACTGAACTCAGACTTTTGTGTTTTACAGAATAAAACAGTTACAGGTGGTTAAAAGGTTTAATTAGTGGGAGTGTCTGAGTAAAAGTAACATTTATCATCATTAATTTAAACTGCTCTGGTTTCATTTCAGTAACTGATCAATGATCAATATTTCACTAAATTTAAATGTAACATTGATTATTGATTAACAATCCAATAACCTTACATACAGTCACATACTGCACTACTTTTACTGCATGAAGTTGATGGTGTGCTCTGTGTGTGTCAGTAAACCTGTGTTTTCTCTCTGGGTGTGTTTGTTTCTCGCTGCAGGCCGTCCTGAACGGGAACATCAGTGTTCTGCAGGAGAACGTGGAGCAGCTGCGTCAGATGGAGCTCAACCTCACGGCTCGCCTCGAGCTGCAGGAAGGTAGGAAGGAAAAACTCCCTCACTGCCATGAAAGGAGACTTTCTCACAGAGCGCTGCCGCTATTCTGAGCTGCATTTTCCCCCCGGTTACCATGACGACCGCTGACTCACTGTAAACAAACACACACCATTGGTCGAGTGTTTTCTGCTCCGAGAGAGAAAGAAAAATTTAAGTACATGGAGCACCATATTATTAGTACTTTCACTGCAGTAGCAGAGTATTAATGAAGTACAAATGTAGAAGAGGAATGAATACAGTAGAGATTACAGTACTGCTGTAGAGTACAGTAGAGATTGCAGTGACAGATCAGACCCTGATAAAGTCTGAACCCAACATTAATGAGATATTATATATATCAGTAACAAACCACATTTACACATTATCAGTTTATAAAATGTGACACTTGTTATTGTTATTAAACTACCCAGCAGTGGGTTAACATGTACTTATATATTTATTATTAGTGCTGTCAGTTAAACGCGTTATTAACGGCGTTAATGCAAACCCATTTTAACAGTGTCAATTTTTTTATCGTGAGATTAACGTTCTTTTTGGCCTAGTACACTTTGTAGTTTTTTCACATGCTGTTGCAACAACTAGTAACGTTACAAAAACTACAACACCACACCGGATCTAGCTAGACCGGAAACAGAACAACAGGCACGCTGCACACACTTGTTTAAGAGTAGTAGACGTTGCGTTTTGAGTGGATGGCGAGCGCCAGACGCCGAAATGGACGCCAAGAATATAGTATATGCCAATGTTGTTTTCAATGAAAACAAAAGCAAAGCCGATCCACTTTTCCATGTTGATAAGAGCATTAAAATGAGAAAAAATAATGGGACAAAAAGAAATCAAGGGACATTTAGAATAGATAAAAATGTGCGATTAATTGTGATTAACTGCGAGTTAACTATGACATTAATGTGATTAATGGCGATCAAATATTTTAATCGTTTGACAGCACTAATTTATATTTATATATGCCTAACCTATTCTGCATAATGAGTACAATCAGATCCACCATATTGATCCCACACTGGGGAAATTCCCTCCAAAAGAAAATACATAGAAAAAATACAAGATACAATACAAATATAGGAATAAATACACGTACATATAGTTTTGTAGTATGTAGACTGTCCAGCTGTTTATAACCAGATGCGATTGTTGAACGTTGGAGGTCAGAGCAGGAGGTAGAGATCAATAATGTTGCAAACAGCAGTGTAATGTACAGGCACTCACACTGTGTATTAATACTGAATGTGTGTAATAAATAATAATAACTCAGTGGTTCCACATTAAACTGTCTGATGTTTATCAGCAGTGAACAATGCGTCTCTCATATCAGCCTCACACACACTCCATCATTTCCTCTCAGAGCAGGAAGTCACCTTCATTACAGTCTGCTTCCCATCAGCCTCATGTTCCCGCCGCTGGAGAGGATTAGTCACATAAAATACCCTTAATGACTTTAACAAAGGGGCTTATTTCATCGCCCGCTGGAGATGAAAACTGGAGACAGAGAATTCAACTTTATACTAAGAAATCTCTGTTCATAAACTTCTGCTGAGACAGTGATTGTACACAGTGAGTACACAGTGAGTGTACAGTGAGTACAGTGAGTACACAGTGAGTGTACAGTGAGTGTACAGTGAGTACAGTGAGTGTAAGTGAGTACACAGTGAGGACAGTGAGTACAGTGAGTGTACAGTGAGTGTACAGTGAGTGTACAGTGAGTACACAGTGAGTGTACAGTGAGTACAGTGAGTACACAGTGAGTGTACAGTGAGTACAGTGAGTGTACAGTGAGTACAGTGAGTACACAGTGAGTGTACAGTGAGTGTACAGTGAGTACAGTGAGTGTACAGTGAGTGTATAGTGAGTACACGAGTGTACAGTGAGTGTACAGGAGTACAGTGAGTGTACAGTGAGTGTACAGTGAGTGTACAGTGAGTACAGTGAGTACACAGTGAGTGTACAGTGAGTACAGTGAGTGTACAGTGAGTACAGTGAGTACAGTGAGTGTACAGTGAGTACACAGTGAGTGTACAGTGAGTACAGTGAGTGTACAGTGAGTACACAGTGAGTGTACAGTGAGTACACAGTGAGTACACATGAGTGTACAGTGAGTGTACAGTGAGTACAGTGAGTACAATGAGTACACGAGTGTACAGTGAGTGTACAGTGAGTGTACAGTGAGTACACAGTGAGTGTACAGTGAGTGTACAGTGAGTGTACAGTGAGTGTACAGTGAGTACAGTGAGTGTACAGTGAGTGTACAGTGAGTACACAGTGAGTGTACAGTGAGTACAGTGAGTGTACAGTGAGTACACAGTGAGTACACACTGAGTGTACAGTGAGTGTACAGTGAGTGTACAGTGAGTACACAGTGAGTGTACAGTGAGTACAGTGAGTACACAGTGAGTGTACAGTGAGTACAGTGAGTGTACAGTGAGTACAGTGAGTGTACAGTGAGTGTACAGTGAGTACAGTGAGTGTACAGTGAGTACAGTGAGTGTACAGTGAGTGTACAGTGAGTGTACAGTGAGTGTACAGTGAGTGTACAGTGAGTGTACAGTGAGTGTACAGTTGATACTGATCAATATGATGATCAGTTTACTGACTGAGAGAACAGCTTGTATTAGTAGTTGAATGTAGAACGTGTTTATAAACTGTAACTGTCAGTGAACCTCTGAGGTTTGGTAGTATGATGATAGAATCCCAAATGAAACACATTATCTCTTTCCTCTGAAGAGAACTGCAGTGACCTCACTGATCCAGGATCTGATCCAAGTACACAAACAGGAGAGCTGGCAGCCCGGCTCATTCCTGAAATAACAATCAGTGATAAGAGTCAAAGTTTCAACCAAACCCAGTTCATATTCTGCTGCTTTCTGTGAGATTACACTGCGCCCCCTGGTTACTGTTGCTATGGTCTGCTCAACATCACCACACCAGTGAGGAACCAGCAGCTCCTCCCACTGACTGACGCTGTTCATCTTCAGCTTTACTGATTCACAATCAATCACTTATTATTTCCATTAATATATACAGTGACCACAGGGGTCGCCATGGCAACCAGAACTGACTGCTGACTCTGTTCGTATGTTCAGAACGCATCGAGACCCTGCAGCACAACGTGACCCAGACCCTCTATGAGACCACGTCCTGCCTCAGTCTGAAGGTGGCGGCTGAGAGCCAGATGTTGGCGGCTCAGAGTCAAACTAAAGCCTGCGAGTCTGCTCAGCAGTACCTGCAGAAACAGCTGTAAGTCTCACTTCCTGTTCCACAACAAAGATTTTGACCCGAGTCCATTATGGAGACATCTGACATCTCTCTGTGGACAACAAACCACAGAGAGGCTGCGATACAACACAGGCAGAGGGAGAGAGACACCATGTGACTGTATACAGAGAATATAATGTTTAATATCTCATAAAACCTTATAATGTATTTAATGTGTATTTATTTATGTTTTATTACAGATCAGAAATAATAATTATTAATCAATGAATAAAATATAGATCCCAGTTTCAGTGTCCTGATGTCAGTGCTGTGTTTGTGTGTTTACAGTCAGAAGTGTAAAGTCGGGGAGCCTGAAGCTCCTCAGGAGACGCAGCCTCAGGACTCCGCCTCCCAACCGTCCTCCGCCGGCGCCGTCTCGCCCCTCTGTGGAATTCCCGCACTGACGCTGCTCATCTGCAGCGCTCTGCGTCTGATTACCTGAGTACGACTGCGTCCAACAGTTAATGACTCACACATTGACTGTAAATGAGTTGTATTACTCCTGTTAGCAGAGAACAGCTCCCCCTGCTGGCCACTGCACAAACACACAGAGAAATAACCACTTAAATGTAAATGAACATGTTTTGTTAATAATAAATAATAAATAATAATAAGAAATATAATTTGCAGTCTTTGTTTGAATAAAGTTCCAGGTGTTTCCATGACTGGAAAACTGGTCTCTAATTATCCAGGTTTTCCAGGATATCTGCTCGTCAATAACAAGCAGTAATCAATATTAACATTCAATCCAGGTTGGTTAACAATGCATTCTGGGTAATCAATGAGTATTCATTGTATTTCTTTTTGCATGTCAGAGCGTCCGCATGTTTACAGTCTACTGTCAGTACACAGAATATAAAACTACTGAAGGCTCCGATCATCACTATTGATTACTATTGATTACAATATACAAACATTCAAACTTAATAATAATTAATATAAGATCAATAAAATACTTACAGTCACTTCAGTATTCGGATCTTTATAAATTCATAAACAGGAAATAAACTTCGGGCTGTGCTGTGTTTCAGGAGCCCGGCGAGGCGTCGACCTGCCGAATGACGGCGAGCACTGCGGTCCGGGCCGGAGGGGGCGGAGCCTGGACGGACTGAACGACTGCTGTACAAACTTCCTGATCGCCATGGAGACGCCACGCTGTCGTATGACTGGACACAGACTTTGCTTGAAGAGCTGAGGCGTTCACTGACCGACTGAAAGAACTGTTTATTTTACCACTTTCAGCTGTCCATCAATCAGTTCTTATATTGATTTATTGATTATTGATTCACTGCAGAGAAACAATCAGTCAGTGCACCACGATGCATTTAGGGACCTCCTCTGTCCTTTTACAAAAATTGTTTGTGAAGTCAAAATCTCCAGATGAAAAAATATGTGTTTTATAAATCGTTCCAACAGAATCAGAGAGGAAGAAAAGTCCACCGTCCGTCGACCAATCACAAGCAGTCCTGCCCGAGCAAAGCTCTGATTGGCTGCAGAGTCCAAAATGGAGGATGCTAACGTAGCTTATTAGCTGCTCTGGTTCACACACTTGCATCAGGAGTTTAAATACAGTCCCACAGACTGCACTGACCACTGAGCACATGATCACTAGGAGTACTTTATATTATTGATTACAGTTCTGTGAGGCGGACTGATTGGTTATCTCTCTGCAGGAAGTGATTGATTACAACCAATCAAATCAATGTAGAACTGATTGGTTTAGAAAATAATCAGCAGGGATCAAACGTGAAGCTCGACGTGACTTTTTCAACCCAGAGACCCCGTTTACACCTGACAGAGCACAGGATGTCCCAGCATGCACTGGGCTCAGCAGCGCCATCTGGAGCCTGAACATAACCCAACACAGCTGATATTGATTGATTTTATGATCAGTGAGTATCATCAGATATTGATCAGTCGGGTGTTAACGGGGTCGTAGTGTGTAAACGACTGAACTCACAGCTTGAAGCTCCAAACGACTCGACTGACAAAAGCTTTTCTATGGTGTGTGTGTGTGGGGGGGGGGGAATAAACCTGAAGAGTTTCTACGATGCTTTCTGTGTCCTGATTTACAGCTGAACTATCGCACTGTACTGGGATCAGTTAACTCCCTCTAACCAGAGGAGGGCGGCCCACATCCCCCATCCTCCCCCAGCCTTATTTTATTCAATTATTGATCAATAAATCACACTACTGATCGATAAATCAAGTTATTGATCGGTGTCACTGTGTGAACTGTGTTTACACGCAGTGAGAACTGAATGTTAGTGTCACACTGATCAATAACCACTGTTGTTCAGATAAGATTATGTTTACTCAATAAAATCAATCACATTGATCAATACTTTATACTAAATATTGTGGAACTTATAATCAGACAGAAGAAGGTTCCAGCAGTGGTCTGACAGCTGAATGCTGAACTTTTAAATACTGAATTTATTGACAAGATACAGACACTAAAGTGATCATCTTTCTTTTAATATTTCCATTTCATTTTCTAACAGCAGAGTTCAGAGATTTACAGAGTGACACTGAACCTCTCAACCGAAACATTCACAACCTGAACTCAAAGGGAACTCAAAGGGAACTCAAAGGGAACAACCTGAACCAGCAAAACATTTAGCAAATAAAATGAGTCTAGAATAAATAAAAGTACAAAACTGTAAATGAAAGACGTCCAGTTTCCCCTCGTCCCATAATGCTCTCTGGCTGTGAGGCAGAAACAGAAACAGATCTTTAATTGTTTGTGTCTGTAAACGCTGTTTATCAGTTTTATTTCACATTGAATGAGCTCCAATAACACACAGCCTACATTTCCCAGAATGCAGCTGGACAGTGTTTTTCATTAGACTCCTGTCTGTCAGACTGATGATGACTCAGATATCATCATCAGTGTCTGAGGACGACACCCCTTTAACTTACTCTGTTTACACCACCTCACCTGTGTGTACCTGAGTGTGTACCCGAGTGTGTGTACCTGAGTGTGTGTGTGTGTACCCGTTTGTGTGTGTACCCGTGTGTGTGTACCCGTGTGTGTGTGTGTGTGTGTGTGTGTACCCGAGTGTGTGTACCCGTGTGTTTGTGTACCTGAGTGTGTTCCTGAGTGTACAGGTGAGTGCAGTGTGACATTCCTACCTCAGTCTTTGGAGCTTGACTTGAACTCCTGCTGAGCCTGAAACATTCAAACACATAAAACACGATTAACATGTGACCTCACAGTTACTGACCATGTGACCTCACAGTTACTGACCATGTGACCTCACAGACTGTAACCGTGTGACCTCACAGTTACTGACCATGTGACCTCACAGACTGTAACCATGTGACCTCACAGACTGTAACCATGTGACCTCACTGTTACTGACCATGTAGCTGCCGGTGTGGAAGCCACACATGTACCACAGCATCAACATGCTGGAGGTGGCGCTGACGGCGGACTCTTTCCCACCAAAAGCCCAGAGAGGAGGAGGAGGAGGAGGAGGGATAAAGGACATGGGGTCCTGAGGGAGAGACAGTGAGTCATCAGAAGCAAAAATATCAGTAATAAGCTGATCAATAAATATTAGTGAGTCAGTTTCACCCCTGTGCTCGACTGAGGAGGAGGAGAAAACGGAGGGAAGAAAGAAGAGCTGTGATTGGTTGGTTTCTCTGCTCCTGTCTTCTTATCTTCATTCTCAACTTTACTCTGACTGCTGGGTTTCACCTGCTGACACAGTACAACAAAACACAGCCCATAATCAATCAATACTGGATCAATATCAGCAACACATTAAACTCCAGTGTGATCACATGATCACTGGTGTACGTCCAGCAGGTGGCAGCATCTTCACACTCACCCAGGAGGAGCTGTGCTGATCATCTCTCCTCACTGACCTCCTCTCTGCTCCTCTCTCCTGGTTCTCCCCCCTCCTCCTCCAGCTGTTGCCCTGCAGAGAGCAGCCGATCACTAATCAATACCCACCTTATTAAAGCATCAATCAAACTAATACCGTCAGACAACCTTATCAGACTTCGCTAGTGTTTCTGTAGTGGAGACACAGTGTATACTGATCAATAAAGATACAGTGTATACTGATCAATTATCAATAAAGATACAGTGTATACTGATCAATATCATCCATAAAGATACAGTGTATACTGATCAATAATCAATAAAGACAGTGTATACTGATCAATAATCAATAAAGACAGCGTATACTGATCAATAATCAATAAAGATAGTGTATATACTGATCAATATCATCCATAAAGATACAGTGTATATACTGATCAATAATCAATAAAGATACAGTGTATACTGATCAATAATCAATAAAGACACAGTGTACACTGATCAATAATCAATAAAGACATAGTGTACACTGATCAATATTCAATAAAGATACAGTGTATACTGATCAATATCATCCATAAAGATACAGTGTATTCGGATCAATAATCAATAAAGATAGTGTATACTGATCAATAATCAATAAAGACAGTGTATACTGATCAATAATCAATAAAGACACAGTGTATTCTGATCAATAATCAATAGAGATACAGTGTATTCTGATCAATATCATCCATAAAGATACAGTGTATATACTGATCAATACCATCCATAAAGATACAGTGTATATACTGATCAATAATCAATAAAGATACAGTGTATACTTATCAATAATTCATAAAGATACAGTGTATTCTGATCAATAATCCATAAAGATAGTGTATTCTGATCAATAATCCATAAAGATACAGTGTATATACTGATCAATATTATCCATAAAGATACAGTGTATACTGATCAATAATCAATAAAGATACAGTGTATTCTGATCAATAATCAATATAGATACAGTGTATACTGATCAATATATCCATAAAGATAGTGTATTCTGATCAATAATCAATAAAGATACAGTGTATACTGAACAATATCAATAAAGATACAGTGTATATACTGATCGATAATCAATAAAGATACAGTGTATTCTGATCGATAATCAATAAAGATACAGTGTGTATATTAATCGATAATCAATAAAGATACAGTATATATACTGATCGATAATCAATAAAGATACAGTGTATATTGATGATACCCGGTACCTGGTCTCCGGTGGTCCTGCAGGGTCCGAGCAGCTCGTCTGGGTTCAGCAGGCTGTCGACCTCCTGCTCCTCCTCGTTGTTGTAGTCATCGTAGCGAACGCGGCAGCGTTGACCTTTGACCCACAGAACCACCGCCGGATAAACCAGACCGTCCTCGGAGTACTCGGCCCGGCACCGAGAACCAGGTCTCCAGTCCTGACACATAGACCACAACCGGGTTCAGGACTCACCCGCTGTGTGATCAATCTTATTGATCTGATCAATGCATGAAGGACTACACTGTGCTGATATATCTCACAGATCAATAACATCAGTGTTCAATTATACACACAACACTTTCCTGTCTGTCATCACCTGTCCTATCAAAATAAAAGCACCCGCAGTGTTACCTGAGAGGTGTGTCTGTGTGTCTGCAGAGCTTCTGGACTTCTGAGCGCGCTCAGTTCCACTTCCTCCTCGTTGCCATAGCCACAGAACCGGACTCTGCAGCGTCCTCCGTCCACAGACAGAACCTTCGCCCGGTACACCTGCCCGTCCTCTGACCACACGGCCCGACACTGAGCCCCCACCGCCCACTGAGAGACAGACAGAGAGACAGACAGAGAGAGAGAGAGAGAGACAGTCAGAGAGAGAGAGACAGAGAGAGAGAGAGAGAGAGATTTTTTTTATTTTTGAACAATACTTTATTTACATTTAACTAACTGTAACAAACAGTTCCACAATCAATAGATCAGTTGAGGAAGGATGTGAACTTTAACTCTCCACCGGTCACCCGGCACAACAGCTCCTCATGAGCCCACTGCTGCTCAAACACATCTGTATTCCCTGTGACCCTGTGGAAGCAAAACTCCAGCCTCAGTCTGGCCTTCACATTGTACCTCCACAGGGTCACAGGGTCAAGGGTCGGCCCACCCTGCAGTCTGTCCCTACGAGTCAGGTATATCGACATTTTAGCCTCACCAATTAAAAAGTTTAGGAGTCGACACTTTACTTTTTCTGTTTTTTTAAAAGCAACTCAAAAACCAACCACAAATAAAAACAGGGGCAGTAAAAATGACACCAAATAGATTAAAAACACGAGTTAAAACATTAAAAATGTCTGCCAATCTCCTGCACTCAGTAAAAACATGGAAAATGTTCTCAGTCAGTCCACAGAATGGGCACTCCTTTACAACACTGTGATTAAGAACAGATAAAAAGGCATTGGTGGCAATGGCACCATGTAAAATCCTCCACTGGAGATCTCCAGTTCTTTTTTTAGAGGAGGTTTGTATAAAGTTCTCCACTGGGGGCTCAGCCCACCCAGCCTCTCAGTCCACACACACTGCGCTCTGTCACACAGGCGAGTTTTGTGGATCGTTTTTATACAGTTTGTGTACAGAGTTTTTTTGTCAGCCTTGTGTAGGCTCAATGTACTCCCATCATTGTGTCTCAGGAGGGGGCCGCTGAGCTCTGTGAAACCAGGGCACAAGTAGATCTCGGGATACGGGTCTGTGGGGTCCGGCTCAGCCTCTCCCCTGCCGTATTTGAGGAGAAGGATTCTCTCCTTCTCCGTCAGCCTCCTCCTCCAGAGCTCTAGGCTCCTCTGCATCAGCCGGACAGAGCGCACCCCCAGCACAGAGCCCAGAGATTGGACATCTGTGAGCTCTGGTCCTGCTGCATCTACCAGTTGTTTGAGGCAGACAACTCTTGAGCTGCACAGCACCCCCATCAGCCCAGGCACGGTGCTGTAGCACACGTCCATCTTTGCACCACAGATTATAGGCTCCTTTAATAGGAGGCAACCCACCTAACTTTAAGAATTTAAAATCAGTTAAAAACAGAGCAGCATCCAGCCCCAGGTTATTGACACGCCTGAGTATGCAGTGTCTCTCCACACCAGATCTTCAGGTCCAGTCAGATACTTTTGAATGAACTGGAGCCTGAAGGTGGCTGTCCTGCTAGCCAGGTGGACCAGGCCCTGGCCCCCCTCATCTCTGGATAAAAACAATACAGACTGTGGTACCCAGTGCAATTTGTTCCAGAAGAAATTGACAATCTTCACTTGAATCTGGGCAATGAGACCTGTTGGAGGGTCCAGACAGGCTAACCTAATCTTAAACAACCACCAGGACCCTCCCTCTAAAAGATATTTGTGGGTGGAGCCACCTCCACTTAGCCAGTTTGTTATCCACTTTTTCTAAAATGTTTTCCCAGTTTTTCTTTCCAATGTCGCTGTTTCCGAGATAAATACGGAGATACTTTAAGCCTTCTCTTCTCCATATCAGGCTTTGAGGGAGAACAGGGAGGCCCTCCCGCCATTCACCAACAGCAAGAGCCTCGCTCTTCCTCCAGTTCACCCTCGCAGCCGACACAACAGAAAACTTCTCGATTACAGAATTTAAAACACACACATCCTGTTGATCTTTGATAAAAACAACGACATCGTCAGCATAAGCAGATAAAACAACACTACTGTTAAAACCAGGTAAAAACAGGCCTCTAACAGATGATCTTATCTTTTGTAGGAGGGGTTCCAGGGAGAGTGCACTCTAAAAGGAGCACACAAGCCACCATTAAACTTTAGCACACTCTCAATGTCACTGTACAACACCTTGATCTTGGCTATGAGACCAGCGCTGAACCCAAACCTCTCCATGACCTTCCAAAGGAAGTCGTGTTCAACGCGGTCAAAAGCCTTTTCTTGATCTAATGAGATCAATCCAGTGTTTATGCCTAATGAACTGGAGACCTCCAAAACATCCCGAATGAGGTAGATATTATCTACCATAGACCTGCCGGGCACACAGTACGTCTGGTCCCGGTGGAGAATCTGCTCCATGGTTCCTTTCAGCCTATTGGCCAGGACTTTAGACAGTATTTTGTAGTCAGTGCAGAGGAGAGAGACAGGACGCCAGTTTCTGATTTCTTGCAAATTACCTTTCTTGGGCAAGAGGGTAATTATGGCTCTCCGACATGAGAGTGGCAGTGACCCAGACACCAGACTCTCATTAAACACATCTATGATGTCATGGGCCAAGATGTCCCAGAAGGCTTTGTAGAACTCAACAGTGAGGCCGTCGATGCCTGGAGCCTTTCGCCCCTGCATGCTCTGCCGCACCGCCGGAACGGGTCGGCGGTCGGCCGCGGCGGGGTACCGCCCGAATCCCCCGCAGGAGCAGGCGGCAGCCGACGCACCACGGCTCGGACAGGCCTTAATCAAATGTCCCTCTTCGCCACATCCGAAACATTTCACAGTGGATGATGTCGCAAAGAGAATGTACTCGAAATCATCCACACGGACTCTGAACCGGTAATCAAACTCCTCGTTTTTGTTGTTCAGCAACATGAAGAGCTGTCTGCGGTGAGACACTACATGTCTCAGGAGGGGAGACTTACAGCCCGACAGCACTTTTCTTATGGGTGACACCACCTTTCCATGTCTGGACAGCTCTTTAATCAAGAAATCATCACTGATGAACGGAGGAACGTTTGAAAGAGTGATCCTTGTAGCCGGCTGTATCAGCGGTATCACCGGCTCAAACATCCCATTCACCGTAATGCCCGTTTCCACCAACCTGTTCACCTGTTCCACCTTCTCCAGGAACAGGACCACCGCACTGTTCATCCGGGCAGCGGACTTCACAGAGCCGTGCCCGATGATTTCCCCCACGGCCAGTGTTACCTCCTCCACCCTGCACGGAGAGCCGGCTCCGGTTTTAATGCCGTGCTTCTGTGTCAGCCTAGAGAAAACGCTGCTGGACGCCATACCGGCGCCTCAGAGCGAGGCTGACAAACAACAAACAAACACTAAACTAACCAACAAACAACCAAACACCAACCAAAACAACACTAAACTAACACAACTACATTCACAAACACAACACAACGAAAATATACCGAAAGAAAGAAATAGAAATAGAGAAAAACACTCAATTTCATCCAACTCTTCCACTCACACTCACACTCAGAGAGAGAGACAGAGAGAGAGAGACGGAGAGAAGACAGTCAGAGAGAGACAGAGACAGAGAGAGACAGAGACAGAGAGAGAGAGAGAGAGAGAAAGAGAGAGAGAGACAGTCAGAGAGAGAGAGAGAGAGAGAGAGAGAGAGAGAGAGAGAGAGAGAGAGAGAGAGAGAGTCAGAGAGAGAGTTGGTGGACAGAAAGACAGAGAGACAGACAGGTATATATCGGTATCCTGTATTTATTGATCATCAGATCAGATTCTATAAACACAGTCTGACCTTTGACTCTGTAGGTGGAGAGAGCATCTGTCCGTCCTGCTGTCTGTCTGTCTGTCTGTCGGTCTGTCCATCATGCTGTCTGTCTGTCTGTCCATCATGCTGTCTGTCTTCCTGTTCCTGTCTCTCCCTGCTGTCTGTCTCCTCTGTGGCTGCAGTCGGTCCAACAACCTGCAACATGGACAAATATATAAACAACTAAATCAAACAACCACACAGACCCACCAGGACCCACCAGGACCCCACAGACCCACCAGACCCCACCAGACCCCACCAGGACCCACCAGGACCCACCAGGACCTACCAGGACCCCACAGACCCAACAGGACCCCACCAGGACCCTTATACCTACTTAAAGATTACAATACAGGGCACAATGTTTAAGGAAAACACTTATTTATTTTCTCTAAACTTTAGCATTCAAGTACAAATAAAACAAAGACTCAATTTTTGAGCTTTTGAACTCAATAATTGAACTACAATGTAGGAATATTGAATTCTGTAAACATTCAGATGCTCTGGTGTCAGGTAAATTGTGCTGCAGTGCAGACAAACAAGAGCATATAATAAAATAAAAACAGTAGCATTTGTAACAAAGTGCTCCATGCATATTTTGAGAACTATTGCGCATCATCATCAAGTCTATCTTATGGCCTTATTAAACAAATGACTAACTTCAAGTTCCGTCCAGGATTGTACAACAACAACAAAAACCCACAAAAAAATAATTTGCTAAAAAGGTTCACTAAGGGTTTTCTCAAATATTGTACAAAAATATAGAGATTTGTAAACAAATGACATTAATGTTAAAAAAAATTCCACAATTCTCAGATAGAAAAAATACCCAGTATTATTACAGCTATGGACAGATGCCAGAAACTTTGCAGAACTTTGAACATTTTAACATTCTAGGCATTCTCGTCTCGCAGGTTCTTATCGATCCTGGTGGAGCCTCCTGCCATGGTCCTGCTAGATTGCCATTGCCAATACTGTTGTTGCTGTGCACCTGTCTGTCTCTCTCTGTCTCTTTGTCTCTCTCTCTCTCTCTCTCGTGTCTCTGTCTCTCTCTCTCTCTCTCACCCCAACTGGTCGAGACAGACGACCACCCACCTAGAGCCGAAGGATCTGTCCTAGGTTTCTGCCTTTTAACAGGCAGTTTTTCCTGGCCCTTGCTAAATGCCCTCTCTGAAGGGCTGCAGAGATATTTTTTAGCCAGTTTCCCCAGTCTGGAGAAATGTACCTCCTGTGTCTTCCACCATTCCAGTGGATTCACATCACTGTCCACCTCTGGTATCATCAGGTAGCTCTTGAGCTCCTTTTTGATGCCAATAGCCAGTGACTCCCCTCTGGTTGGTTTCTTAAAATAGCTGCCAAAAGACTTCTTTGTCTTTTTGGCTGGCTCAGTGGTGTCTCCTCCATCTGCTCCACTTTCTGCTGAGGCACCCTGAGCTGAGGCAGTTGAGGGACCTGAAGAATCGTTCTCTTCCTGCATTGCTATAGACAAAAGCTCAGAGGAAATTGTGGACACTATGACCTGGTCATCCTCATTGAAACTGTTTTTAAACCATGGGTCTAATGTGGATGCCACACTTAATATGCCATCCACATTGTCATCTCTGTACTTTGTTTCTTTGATTTTCTTTGTGAGCTCTGTGTCATCACACTTCACTGCCAGGACCTCAGAGTTGAACAACGACAGGACCGGTTTCAGGTAGGAGATGGTCACTACCTGCTCACCTGAAAGAGCATCTGTAAACTCTAGCAGGGGACTAAGTGCTTTGCTCACTGATTCTAGCACATCAACATCTTGCCATGTTGGGATAAGATGCGTGCGCTTCTTGTCTGCACATAGCACATGATGAATGGCCTTTTCTTGCTCAACAAATCTCTCAATCATGCGCTGTCTTGAGCCCCATCTTGTTGGTGATTCTGTGATGAGTTTATGCTCTGGGAGCTTCAGCAGATCTTGAGCATCACCCAGTGCTTTCTTCAATTTCCAGCTGTTGGAAAAGGCTCCAACTACCTTCTTGCACACTCCAATGGCTCGGTCTATCCTAGAATCACGCATGCTCCTCTCTGGAAAATATTTGAAATAGACGGAACAACATTCATTATTAGCCAGTTTCACAGTGTAATGAGGCAACATCACTGCCATGTATCTAGGCCGTATACTACCATGCATTGCAGTTTAAAATAGCAGTTAATTTCATATAAGCCTAGTAGGGTATTTGTTAAACTGTCAAATAATAAATCGCCTATAAAAATATATTTATATTTTCTTATACCATGGTCTGGGGGAATACTCTGATTGGCTGCAGGGTGTCCATTAATCCCTGATATATGGACACTTACTAAGTAGTTCCAGTCAAATTGTCTGTTCATCGTTCTAAATTAATGCGCTATCGTATCAGCCTGTCAACAGTTCGTCAGTCCTTCAGTGCCTTATCCTCTGAACACCACAGGACGACAGGCGACTAACACACAAGCTGCAGAAAGTACACCTCCCCTCTAAACTTACTGATACTTTGTATCACATAAGCAAATAATCTGACATCCCGTTCGCTGTTCAACTCACTGCTTCAGGCTGATCTTGATATTGATTTGGGGACAATGACATGACTGGTTAGCTAGCTAGTCTTGTTGTTAAACATACTGTCAAATTATATTTACTGTTTGTCAACTGTACGCAGTGTTATTGACTTTGAATCTTGCTAGCATAACGTTAGTTCTCTGGCTCATAGCTGAGGGGACTAGAATATCTCCCGTTGCCAAGTCGTATCTAAGGTCCGTCCTATTTACTGGAGGAGTGAACAACGTTTCCGTTGCATAAGAACCTTAATAGAATTATGATTGTTCCAGGTATTAGTCAAACCCTCAGGCGTTACCAGGGAAACTAAGTTATGGCTTGTGATAAACTTTATATTTTTATAGTAAAATGCATGAAAATATAAATGGTCTTAATTTCTTTTCTTTGGCAAGTGACCACGGTATAAGCGGGATAATGCCCTTCGAAGTGTCCATAATTAGGAATGAATGGCCTTGCGGAGGCAACGTCGTCTATTAATTCCTGATTATTGACACCTCGTCAGGCATTATCCCTTACTTAAACTGATTTATTTTCACTTTTATCTTGACATTGTTGACACTCAAATAAAAAATTGTTATTTCATATCAACTGCATTAAATACGAATATTCAAATGAGATAACTCACCAACTGCAATATGAAGCCGGTGCCCAGAGCACGGTAGTCTTTTCCAGTTGTTACTTCTGAGTGCACTGACGACGTTTGCACCGCTGTCGGTGGTCATGCAGACCATGTCCTCTTCAGTCAACGACCATGATGTGAGAGCATCTTTCAGACCAAGGGCAATGATGTCTCCTGTGTGATCATCTGGGAAATAGGACGTTTGCAAACAGTAGCTCTGAAGTAGCCAATAGTCATCAATGAAATGCATGGTCAGAGGGATATGGCTCCGATGTTCTGCTCGACCATAAATCGGTTGTTGTAGCAAAGTGTGTCAACTTTTGCACTTCATCCACCACAGCTTTGCGAGTTGAATCATACAGACTGGGGAGAGTAGTTTCACTGAAATATTTCCGACTAGGCACTGTTTATCGCGCGTGTAGGACATTCACAAGTTCTTTAAAGCTTTCGCTCTCTCTGCATCGGCAACATCTCTTTGGCTATGAACTTGGTGATAGCATTTGTTATGTCTTGCCATCGTTGGCTTCTTCTCTCATACGGCACTTTTCTGCTGAATGATTCAGCAAGGGTTTGTTGCTTATGCTGACTAGGTACAGGCCGACTCTGTTTTTCCTGAGCAGCAGTTGAGTCGCAAAGTTTCTGGTATTCTTCGTACTCTTTGCTGTGGTTGGTTCTGAGGTGATGAAACAGGTTCGTTGTGGAGCTCTGTTTCACGGTGATAGATTTTCGACAAATCTTGCATAAAACCGTCTTTTGTTCCACATCAGTCTTTTGGAAACCAAACCATTTCCATGCCAGAGAGGTAGACCCACGTCTCAGCACTAAATCGTCTGAAGTACCGGCGGTAGCTTCAGGGACCGAAGGTGTTTGCATTGTCTCTCTACAACGCGCTGCTAAACTGTTGCAAGGAGGATGCCAGCGAGAGGTCATGTGATCACGTCATGTGATCACGTAGGCCCACTAGTTGTGTGACTGAATCCTGCCATGCTGTAGAGAGCGTTGCTGCACCCTGTATTAATGGATGTGAGCAGTTTCTGCGGGTGTTTCAATATTTTTGGCGAAGTTATTTAAATACTCGATAATGGAAATTGCACATCATCAAAACCCTCTAATATAAATAGAAACATAAAATGGAAATATAAACATAAATATATAATATAAAATATAAAAATAAAATATAAATACAAATATATAATATAAATATAAAATATAAATATAAAATAAAACAAATATAAAATACAAAATATAATATATAATATATAAATATAAAAATGAAAATAAAATATAAATATCAATATAAATATAAAACCAACCTGTGAAATGTTCAGCGTGCTTTTAAAAACCTCGGTGAGAGCAGTTTGGTCTTTACCGGCCGCCGTTACCGCCGTTACCGCCTCTTCCTGCGGGAAACAAACAGTAAGCAGCTCCGGGATTAAGAGAACCGTTGGTCGCTAACGGTCGGCTAACGGTCGGCTAACGGTCGTTATCCGTTATTATCCATCAGTTTTAAATTGAACACCAATAATTAATCGATAGGAACCTACCGGCTCCGCGGCTCCGTGAAGAAGTGTGTTCTCTGTCAGTTCGGTCATCGCTGTCTTCCGTTAACGGACAACCATCTCATGCAGGTAAGGATCAACCGACACACACCTGTGGAGAGCTAACCGGATGTAGCACACGGCTTCCGGTACAGCATTTCAAAATAAATGTTTTCCGTAAAGACTCGAGTATTAATAAATGCTGCTTGGATGGGTTTATTGTTTTATTTTATTTGTATGTCACCAATTCATAAAAGAGAGAGAGAGACAGACAGAGAGAGAGAGAGAGATTTTTTTTATTTTTGAACAATACTTTATTTACATTTAACTAACTGTAACAAACAGTTCCACAATCAATAGATCAGTTGAGGAAGGATGTGAACTTTAACTCTCCACCGGTCACCCGGCACAACAGCTCCTCATGAGCCCACTGCTGCTCAAACACATCTGTATTCCCTGTGACCCTGTGGAAGCAAAACTCCAGCCTCAGTCTGGCCTTCACATTGTACCTCCACAGGGTCACAGGGTCAAGGGTCAAGGGTCGGCCCACCCTGCAGTCTGTCCCTACGAGTCAGGTATATCGACATTTTAGCCTCACCAATTAAAAAGTTTAGGAGTCGACACTTTACTTTTTCTGTTTTTTTAAAAACAACTCAAAAACCAACCACAAATAAAAACAGGGGCAGTAAAAATGACACCAAATAGATTAAAAACACGAGTTAAAACGTTAAAAATGTCTGCCAATCTCCTGCACTCAGTAAAAACATGGAAAATGTTCTCAGTCAGTCCACAGAATGGGCACTCCTTTACAACACTGTGATTAAGAACAGATAAAAAGGCATTGGTGGCGATGGCACCATGTAAAATCCTCCACTGGAGATCTCCAGTTCTTTTTTTTAGAGGAGGTTTGTATAATGTTCTCCACTGGGGGCTCAGCCCACCCAGCCTCTCAGTCCACACACACTGCGCTCTGTCACACAGGCGAGTTTTGTGGATCGTTTTTATACAGTTTGTGTACAGAGTTTTTTTGTCAGCCTTGTGTAGGCTCAATGTACTCCCATCATTGTGTCTCAGGAGGGGGCCGCTGAGCTCTGTGAAACCAGGGCACAAGTAGATCTCAGGATACGGGTCTGTGGGGTCCGGCTCAGCCTCTCCCCTGCCGTATTTGAGGAGAAGGATTCTCTCCTTCTCCGTCAGCCTCCTCCTCCAGAGCTCTAGGCTCCTCTGCATCAGCCGGACAGAGCGCACCCCCAGCACAGAGCCCAGAGATTGGACATCTGTGAGCTCTGGTCCTGCTGCATCTACCAGTTGTTTGAGGCAGACAACTCTTGAGCTGCACAGCACCCCCATCAGCCCAGGCACGGTGCTGCAGCACACATCCATCTTTGCACCACAGATTATAGGCTCCTTTAATAACCAGTGCAGAGAGTTACACTTCTCACTTCTTTTACATTTAAAAAGCCCCCAGGATTTAAAAACACCCTGATAAAAAGGAGGCAACCCACCTAACTAAGAATTTAAAATCAGTTAAAAACAGAGCAGCATCCAGCCCCAGGTTATTGACACGCCTGAGTATGCAGCTGGCCACGTCTCTCCACACCAGATCTTCAGGTCCAGTCAGATACTTTTGAATGAACTGGAGCCTGAAGGTGGCTGTCCTGCTAGCCAGGTGGACCAGGCCCTGGCCCCCCTCATCTCTGGACAAAAACAATACAGACTGTGGTATCCAGTGCAATTTGTTCCAGAAGAAATTGACAATCTTCACCTGGATCTGGGCAATGAGACCTGTTGGAGGGTCCAGACAGGCTAACCGGTGCCATAACATGGAGGCCACCAGGTTGTTTAGGATTAGGACCCTCCCTCTAAAAGATATTTGTGTGGTGGAGCCACCTCCACTTAGCCAGTTTGTTATCCACTTTTTCTAAAATGTTTTCCCAGTTTTTCTTTCCAATGTCGCTGTTTCCGAGATAAATACGGAGATACTTTAAGCCTTCTCTTCTCCATATCAGGCTTTGAGGAAGAACAGGGAGGCCCTCCCGCCATTCACCAACAGCAAGAGCCTCGCTCTTCCTCCAGTTCACCCTCGCAGCCGACACAACAGAAAACTTCTCGATTACAGAATTTAAAACACACACATCCTGTTGATCTTTGATAAAAACAACGACATCGTCAGCATAAGCAGATAAAACAACACTACTGTTAAAACCAGGTAAAAACAGGCCTCTAACAGATGATCTTATCTTTTGTAGGAGGGGTTCCAGGGAGAGTGCACTCTAAAAGGAGCACACAAGCCACCATTAAACTTTAGCACACTCTCAATGTCACTGTACAACACCTTGATCTTGGCTATGAGACCAGCGCTGAACCCAAACCTCTCCATGACCTTCCAAAGGAAGTCGTGTTCAACGCGGTCAAAAGCCTTTTCTTGATCTAATGAGATCAATCCAGTGTTTATGCCTAATGAACTGGAGACCTCCAAAACATCCCGAATGAGGTAGATATTATCTACCATAGACCTGCCGGGCACACAGTACGTCTGGTCCCGGTGGAGAATCTGCTCCATGGTTCCTTTCAGCCTATTGGCCAGGACTTTAGACAGTATTTTGTAGTCAGTGCAGAGGAGAGAGACAGGACGCCAGTTTCTGATTTCTTGCAAATTACCTTTCTTGGGCAAGAGGGTAATTATGGCTCTCCGACATGAGAGTGGCAGTGACCCAGACACCAGACTCTCATTAAACACATCTATGATGTCATGGGCCAAGATGTCCCAGAAGGCTTTGTAGAACTCAACAGTGAGGCCGTCGATGCCTGGAGCCTTTCGTCCCTGCATGCTCTGCAGTGCAGCGTACAGCTCTTGTGGAGTCAGTGGGTCCACCACAGACCTCCTCCATCAGTTCTTCGTTCTCCTTGAACTCACTTTCAAACAACGAGGCATAAAACTCAACAGCTCTTTTCCTTATCAGTCCTGGCTCTGTCAGCTCTTGCCCTGTCTCAGAGAGCAGAGAGTGGATTTGTCTCCTCTGCCCTTGTTTCTTCTCAAGTCCAAAGAAGAAACTCGATGGAGCATCCATCTCCGTGATGTTTTGAACCCGGGACCGGACCAGCGCACCCTGTACTTTAGTGTCCAGCAGGTTGGCTAAAGCCATCTTTTTAGTCTTGAGGATTTCAATATATCCTCGATTTCCTGTGGACTCACTTGTACACTCGAGATCCACAATATCAGTCTCCAGATCTCTGATAGATCTGGTGATGTCGCGTGTGACATTGAGCGTGTGCTGCTGACATAAAAGTTTAATTTGAACCTTCCCATGGTCCCACCACTGCCTCAGACTGACAAACTCGGTTTTTTTCTGTTTAAAATCATTCCAAAAATAACAGTTAAAACAGAGTTAAAATGCCAATAGGCGCTTTTGGGTAAAATGTTTCTGATAAAAACATTACATAAAACCAAAGAATGATCAGTAAAACCAACTGGTAAAATCTTACACATTTTAACAACACTGACTCTGTGCTTAAAAACATAAAAACGATCAAGTCTGGCCAAAGAGATTCTGTTTTCTCTAACGTGGGACCATGTGTACTGTCTGCAGCCTGTGTGCATCCTTCTCCACACGTCCACCAGGCCATGGGAGGAGACCAGCTGCCTCAAGGCATGCTGGGATACTGGATGAGGCTCTGCATGGTTGCGATCTAAAATCTCATTTTCAGTACAATTAAAATCCCCACCCACAAATAAATAATCCTCCGGGCCACAGCTGTTTAAAATATCATTCATATTTTCAAAGAAGTGTTTCCTCTCTGCACCGTTGTTTGGAGCATAAATGTTGATAAAAACCACATTAAAATGTTCAAAACGAGCTCTGACTGAAAGACACCTCCCCTCCACAACATGCCTGACCTCCAGAGAGGTTGGAGTAAAACCTCTGGAGAACAGGAAGCCCACTCCTCCACTGAGGGTGGTGTTATGGCTTAAAATCAGTTCTCCTTCCCATTCTCTGCTCCAGTCTGCCTCGTTTCCAACATCACTGTGAGTTTCTTGTAGAAACAGAACATCAATATGTTTCATTTTAGCCGTTTCAAACACTACTGCTCTCTTTCTTGTTTCTCTGGCACCATTGACATTCAGACTGCCTACTTTAAAAACATTCATAATGATAAAGATGTTAAGAACAAGACTAAAAACAATCGCTGAAATAAATAAAAATAAAATCCCTACATTCACCATCATTAAAAACTGAGTTGTTTTCTGACTTTAATAATCAGTTTTTTCAGTCTGAATATTTCTTGGTCAGTCAGCTCTGACTCTGCTCTGTGTTTCACAGTATACCTGGCTGAGTTATAGAAACCCTGCATATCAGGGAAG